AATGGGCAAAGGAGTGTGACCCATGGGAATGCAACTGTGATTTTGATGAGGCATGAGACAAGGTACAAAAAGGAAGGGTCCTCCCCTGTCCCCAGTCAGTGATCTTTTAAGCTTTTGGTCAGTTTGAAAGACGGTCCCTTTGAAGAATGGGTTGCTGCTTCGGACCTGAGTGAATCTAGAAACCTATCTACAGCGTTTCTCTCTCCTTGCATTGACAAAGAGACTGTGGTGGGCAGGATTGGTTTGGGAGTTGGAGAAGCACTCTTATGGAGTCTATTCCTCTCCCTAATTACCGGATATGATCCATGTGACCTTTTACAGCAGGGGGTGCATGAATCACATTTCAGACTCGCCTGCTCTTTTCCCCATCTGTATCATTTGGCATGCCCATGGCATTATAAGAAGCATGTGGGCGGAGGCTCGAACAGCCTCAGAAAGTGCTCAGGAACATGGCACATCAACCAAGGAAATGTGTGTGTAAAAATAGGACAGTATGAAAATAGGACAGTGAGATTTGAGGAGCAGGGGAAATAAGAAGAAGACTAAAATGAATCAAGTATTGAGGCACTTTTTTTTTTTTTTAAAGCCATGTTGATGAGCTTTGATTACAAAATTCTGCTTGGTAATTTTGGCCCTGCATGGTTTAGAAATAGCCTTTTGTCCTGTGCATTAATTCTTGGGTTAAGAAATGCAAACAACAAGGGCATGTACAGAGGAGATCTGGGGTGATGTGCACCTGAGCTCTGGAATTGTTTTCCTCCTTGGGCCCACTCAATGCCCAATCTAAGCATCTTCTGGTTGGCATGAAAGAAATATCCAGTTGGCAAACAGAAGAAGCCACAGCTATGCCATGGGCTATTCTAGTATATATCATTTTAAACATGCATCTTTGTTTTCAGGCTTTGTTTTCCCCCCCTCTTGTTACCTGAATGCATAAGTTAAACCTTGATATTTTGGTAGTTCTCCCACTCTTGCTGTCTTGAAGCAGAAGAATTACAGGAGCTGGGCTCATGAATGTATGTTCTGTGTTTCACATGTCATGGGCATGTGTATGTGCGTGTGCACTGCCCACCACAAGTGCAGAATTCGCAGTTCTCCGAAGGGTTTGAACTGGCCCATAAGTCATTTCCTGTGTGTGTATGTGTGAATTAGCAGTAATTCTATTTTACAGCACTATAAGATGCCCTGTGTTCAGAAGTCCAATATCTCCCACATCCCATATGGGTTGCAATTGCAGACTTTGGGGTCTCAAATTTCAGCAGCACCCTATGTGCCACCAAAATTCAGTGCCCCCTGCCTCTCGCCTTCCATTCTACAGCACAGTTGCAACGTCCCCTGCAACGCCTCTGAAGCTCTGCGCCCAGTGCAACCAAACCAGTCGCACACCGTTAAATCCACTTCTGTAGGTTGCTATGCAATGAGGTTTGAGCTGACCACCCCTTCTGGGAGATCTGGATCTGGCAACCATCAATGGAGTTCCTAGTGCATTGAAAATTGACTGCTCTAATGTTCGTTGCATTAAGCATTACATGATTGTAGTTGGCTTGCCAGCTTCCTCGCCCCGAATCAAAACTTGCAGCAATGAATGATCACTCATGTGATAACTTCACTTTAATTCCCTTGTTCTTCAGGCACTGGAGGTTTGGAAGAGGAAGGGGAACCAGAAGTTAACTCTTAACACAGTTTTAAAGGCTTAGCTGCAAGTAGTTCCCTCTCTGTACAGCATAGTCAAGAAAATGGATTACTTATGTTGGTATAAATGGAACCCTTCTGCAAAAAACAAACAGTGATTATTCACAGATATTAAAATAGTTTGACTCTTTGGTTTTCAGGAGATGGTTTGAGGTTACTGTGTTTGTTGGTTTTAAGCCTATCCTATTGTTAGTAGGGACACGGGTGGCGCTGTGGGTTAAACCACAGAGCCTAGGGCTTGCCGATTAGAAGGTCGGCGGTTTGAATCCCCGTGACGGGGTGAGCTCCCGTTGCTCGGTCCCTGCTCCTGCCAGCCTAGCAGTTCGAAAGCACATCAAAGTGCAAGTAGATAAATAGGTACCGCTCCGGCGGGAAGGTAAACAGCGTTTCCGTGCGCTGCTCTGGTTCACCAGAAGCGGCTTAGTCATGCTGGCCACATGACCCGGAAGCTGTACGCTGGCTCCCTCGGCCAATAAAGCGAGATGAGCACCGCAACCCCAGAGTCGGTCACGACTGGACCTAATGGTCAGGGGTCCCTTTACCTTTACCTTTATTGTGAGTACACCTCCATCTTGGATTCTCACAGTCTGTTTTGTATAATTCATAGCCCATAACCTGTCTGCTGTCAGAACTCCTGCATCTTCTCTTCCCACATCTACCAGTTCTCCCCAGTATGTACCAAATAGCTCAATGGCACCCGCTGTCGCTACCTCTTCTCCTCCTAACAGCTGGCAGAGCAGTTCTTTCCATTGCTCTCTCAGTCCAGGGACTTCCCTTCATCTGCCGTTGAAATGACATCTGCAACAGCTTTTGCAAGGGATGCTGGTTTGAGAAATCTCATGAAATCACAGCATGGATCCTCAATTGCGCAGTGGAATTTAAATATATGTTGTAAGGGAAAGGGTTTGTGACTTGGCTGAATGCACCCTTTAGCTGGGGTTTTCTTACAGCTGTAATGCGGTACTCTACATGATTAACTTTCCTTGTAAAACCCTGAGTAGGAGTTGTTTAAGAGACCTAATAAAAAATACCTTCTGATGGGCTCTTGCTTCTGTGGGCAGGAATTTTATCACAAGGCTTAGCTTTTCGTCCCATACTCTATGATTGTTGCTTTGGAAACGTCAGCGCTTGTTTAAAACCAAGCAGCACTTGTCTTTCTTTAAAAAAAGAAGAAATTGTAAAATGTGCTTAATCACCTTTAAAGATGTGGAAGATACCAAGGAGAATATATTCTAACCTTCCTCTTGTAATCATCTGTTCTGCTTTGGACATGCTCAGTATAGTCTAGTGAATAGAGTGTTGTGTTTTTAAACCAAGGTGTCCTGAGCTGGACTCTCCCCTCAGCCACAGTGAAAATAACCCCATGCAGTTCATGCAGCCCTTAGCTACCTGGAGGAAGGCTGAGCTATAAAAATAATACAGTGGTACCTCTGGTTAAGAACTTAATTCGTTCCGGAGGTCCGTTTTTAACCTGAAACTGCTCTTAACCTGAGGTACCACTTGAGCTAATGGGGCCTCCCGCTACCACCACAGTGCGATTTCTGTTCTCATCCTGAGGTAAAGTTCTTAACCCAAGGTACTACTTACGGGTTAGCGGAGTCTGTAACCCAAAGTGTTTGTAACCCAAAGCATTTGTAACCTGAGGTACCAATGTAAAATAATAAAATAAAGAAGTATTTTTAAGTAAATGTGAATGTCTACCACGCTTTCACTTTTCCATGTTACACACACACACACACACACACACTCATTACCATCCATTAAAAGCAATCATAAATTCATTTAAATATTTTAAACCCAATAATAATTTCATAATATAGGACTGGGTAAGAGGACATGATTGTAAGAGGCTTGCAGTATATGAAACATAGGTTCTCTGTCTGTGAAATAATAAGTTGGTAAATTTAAACTGAGGGAAAATGTCCTGCTTTCCATCTCTGATTGTGTTGCAAAGGGTAAATAACCAGTTCCACATAAACTAGCCATCTGCCCAGGCAAAGGAAATGAGCATCTCCATATTTGCCTGGCTCATGTGAGGAAAAGACCCAGTCCTTCTCCTTCCTCCCCAATAGCATTCCTTTCCACTCTGACCTACCCACTGTGATGTTCTGTCCTGTGGCATTTTTTATTGTGGGGTTAAGACCCACCCATGAAAGACCCACCCTCACCCCTACCATGCTCCACCTTGGCAAAATCTCAAAAGCCTTCTATTCCTTCCTTGCTTTGAGAGAGCAGGCACCAGGTCTGAAGACTGGCAGTAGGGGAAATGCAAGTGCATAAGAACTTAACAATACGACTGACATTTATGTGTGGTACTGCAATTTTTGTATGCTCATCATAGTTGTCCTATGTGTTTTGCTTTTCAGAGTGCGTTTAGTAGAAAGAGGATCCCCTCATAGCTTGCCCCTCATGGAATCGGGAAAGGTAAACGTTTTTGCAACTCTCAATATTTTAGAGAGGCTGATAAATGCTTTAACTTTGAGGTACATGTGTATGTTGGGGTGTGGGGCCCGATAAAAGTAGTGTTCTAGAGAAAGGTCAAAAGTAGCAACTACTTGCCCAGATGTGAGATCCTTTGTGGCCATGTCTGCGCCGCATGCACCTTCTGGCATCACTCAGATGTCTGGATTTGTGCAATTCACGTTGTGCCAGTTGCAAGCCGTGGGGCGCCTCCTCTCACCTAACCTCTGGTTGGTCTCACTGTTACTGCTTACTGAGAGAGAGAGGGACAAGGCAGCGGGGAAGTTGGTGTGGTGCAATGGCACCAGCAGAAAATGGTCTCCGTCAATGTGTTTGCACCGCACTGGCCTTTCCCCCTCATGTCCCCTCCCCCTGCCATTAAGCAGGAGCAATATGACCAACCAAAGATCACATGACAGATGGCACCCCACCATGCCATCTGCTACTGCATTGTGCTGTCTCCCCACCCCATACACTTGCATTGGGTGTGATATGATGTCAGTGCCATGACCAGGCCTCCGGTGACAATGTACTTTTCCCATTATGGTGGCACTACATATTTTATGAAGTGTGCCTAATGTTTCAGCAATATGAGGTAATATTTGCAGTATATTTCTGGGCTGGAGAGAGACGACAGGTTTCTTTCGGTGAGTGGTGGACGACCAGGGAGTTGGAGAAAGTATGGGAAAGGCATAGTTTCTTGAGCAGTGTGCATGGCCATCCCATGATTGTCTTTGGTTGCGGGGTTTGTCTTGGGGTTGCTGCTGCTGCTGATATGTGTGGTGGTTTCAGAAATCTACAAAAACTGTTTGAGAGAGAGCCTCAAAAGAGAGGGGAAATGAACACATACCTGGATGGCTCCGTTGTTTAGAGCATGGTGCTGATAACTCCAAGGTTGCAGGTTCAATCCCCACAGGGGGTTGGACAAAGATAACCCTCAGAGTCCCTTCAAATTCTATGATTCTATGTTAAGGCAACAGTGGATCTGCTGGACATCCTTTGGGGGGCCCTTAGAGAGCCTAAGGGCAGGATATAAAGTTTTTAAAAGAATTAAATACATACTACTTTTCAACACTCCTGTAGAACTCTATCTGCCTTAGGCAAATAATAGACCACATCACCCTAGCGACCCGTAGGAACAAGGATTTTAGTGTGAACACTCATTGGAAAAGCGTAAGCTAGGAACACTTGATTGGCACCAAATTTGGAGTGGCATAATGCTTTGCAAACATGGGACTAAGTTTGATTGGTCTTTCCAGTGGCTGCGCATCTACAAAAAGCATTTGTGGATTGTGCAAATCACTACTTGCAGTTGACTTTGTGAACAGCAGCTGGATTCCAGGTGTTTGTTGTTCATGAGTGACTGTAAGCAAGCTGTATGCTCTGTCCATCAGTGTGAAATGTTTCTCTGGGTTTTCATTGTTGATCCTGCAAGCAGGATCTTGGGGGCCATAATACATGATTGCAGCTTTGCCTGTAAGCAAACAGGGATTCACCATAGGAGTGCAGGAAGCTTACTGCCTTATACAGGGTCAGATCATTGGTTAATCTAGCTCATAACAGGCTGCACCAATTTGGTCTCCAAGATTTCACTGCAGGGTCTTCCCCCAGCTCTTCTTGGAGTTAACAAGGATTGAACCTGGAAACCATGGCTTGCGAAGCATGTGCCAGACCACTGAGCATCCACATCACTACTGTTGTTGTCAATTATTGCCTTGGGTGTAAAGAAAAAGGGAAGATGGATCGCCTGTGCCATATGATGAAAGTATGTTTCGTAATCATACATCCACAAGATTAGTTCTCTCTCCCCCCCCTTGGCATGTCACTCACTCCCTTGAACATGCAAAACACGGAATTCAAAGCCTTCTTTAGGAGTTTCTCGAAAGCCTTTGGGAGACAAGAAGAAAAGTTCATAAAACAATATGTACATCATCTGGCTCACGACCAGATATGACTCATTTTGTCTTTCAATAGATTCTCCCTGGAGTTCGCATCATTATTGCTAATCCAGAAACAAAGGGACCCCTGGGAGATTCTCATCTTGGAGAGGTGAGTCACAAGCTGTGCCTCAGTTGGTACTGAACTGCATGAGTTGATTAAAAGCTACCTTCCTTCCCTAACAGCCGCCTTTACTAAGTATGTGACGAATGGCCCGCTCTGGCAGGTATGCCTCACACAGCTCCAGGAAGTTTAAACTACTTTGTGCTTTGTCACAGCTGAGAACTGAGAGTACCATTTCTAGGTTCTTTTTTTTAAATAAAAAGTCTGCTAGCTTCTTCATTCATATTTTCTTCAAGTTACTCATATTTCAGGCATAATCTCAGAAGTTTGTAATAAACCTGGCCAAACTTTCACTTTGCAGAGCTAGTCTTTGCACACTTTGTCTCAAGCAAAATTTTCATTCATATCTTTAAACTAAAGATTGCATTGAGATATAATTGGCTAGGATCCTTGTATTAGTGGAAAGCCTCATGGAAGGAGCATTCCAAGCTAACATAAGAGTGTTATGTTAAGAGAAAATGGGCCCCACATCCAGAAAAAGGCTTTTCCAGGACCTTTTATGGCAGACTAAGTTAGCTGAACATGCCTTAAGTCCCACTGATTTTCAGTGGAAACCATCAGTGGGGTTGAACGAAAGTTCAGCTGACTCAGTCTGAATACAGCTACAGCTCCCCATGTTTCTCGGACTGTAGTGCAACCCCAGTGGCTCAGTTGGTAGAGCATGAGACTCTTAATCTCAGGGTTGTGGGTTTGATCCCCATGTTGGGTGAAAGATTCCTTATTTGCAGGGGGTTGGACTTGAAGAACCTTGTGGCCTCTTCCAACTCTACAATTCTATGATTCTGATGCATTGAGGTATTTCATTGTGAGATGTCTTCCATCAGCACTTGCTCAAGAGTTCCTGGAAAACTATTGGATTTTCTCCTCCGCATGGCGCTTTGGATCCAAGCCATTATCTCTGCCACTAAACATTGGTGTTGTGGATTCCTGTGCTGTCCCCATATCTCATTAATACTCCCCACACCGTCACCGCAACTCCATCAGGGCCTCTGGGACTAGCGAAAGGATCACCTGTGTGATCTCAGCTGCCCTTGGGATGGAGCTCTTACATATTCCTGATCTGTCAAACAGCTTTTACTCTGGCTTCCGTCACCAATAGTGAATGGGTGTTTCAGGGGAGTGTCACAAGTTAATAGATTCTGCCTAAGTTGTGTTTTCGTGGTTGAATCAATGGCATATGTAGTGCTCTTGAGAATGCTTGTTGTTCAAGGATTTATGCCATTTAGATCCTCTGTGCAAATGCATTATGGAGGCCACTCGCTCTTCAGCAATCTGTGTATCTTTGCTGTTGGCTGGTTTGGATAACTAGGTGGCATGAGTACAAAGAAGAAGGCTGCTTATACCTTTAACCATGAGTACAAGCGAAAGGTTTATGCCAGATCCAAGAGTTAGGAATGTGCGGGGCAGCAAGGGCAATAGTGCACATATTTCGTATGTACGTTGTATTATTTTGTGCAACATAAAGAGTTGGTTGTTTGACTGACTTTCTGCTCTGTGGAAAAGTTTGAAAATTATAATAAAGGCGATTAACTGATATTTTGCCAATGTGATCCCAACTCCAGAAAGCTAATAACTGGTTATAGGAATGCCACAGAGGCTTGATCTCAACCACTGCATGTTAGCGGTGCTTGCCTTGGCAGAATTACTCCTGGGGATGGCTTTCAGTGGGTAAGCTGCTGCAAAGGACTGGATTTTCCTCAGCAAGCTGATGGCTGAGTTGAAGGGCTCCTATTGTGTTTAATATAAAAATGTCTGTGGCAGAGTATGCTTGGGAGCACACCAGTGAAGACATAACTTTTTCCTCTCCACCTAGATATGGGTTCATAGTGCTCACAATGCCAGTGGCTACTTCACTATCTATGGTGATGAATCCTTGCAGTCCGATCACTTTAACTCAAGACTTAGTTTTGGAGACACTCAAACTATCTGGGCACGGACTGGCTACTTGGGATTTCTGAGAAGAACAGAGCTCACAGATGCAAATGGGGGTAAGTTCTCACACTGCCTTTTATAAGTCTGTATGGTATCGAGTGCTTTCAGATCAGGAGCTGTCAACCTGTTTGGGCCCATGAGCATATTTGTAAAGGGGAGGAACTATTGGGGGCGCCTCTCTCACACTGCAACCAAGCTCACATTGCAGTCTGTCCTATTGTCTACAGTACAGTGGTTCTTTCAAGCCTTAATTTCAGTGGGGAAGGGGTTGGGGGAGAGGCAAGGTGCCAGGAGACTCCTGACTTACAGAGCATTTCCTTGCTGGATTTGCATTTCCCGCCATGGCTACTCCACTGCGGGAGCTGGGAACAAGAGCACTGTTCCTGTAATCCGACAGGAGAGATTTTGCAACCACCTTCTTTGCATCTTTGGGGGATATTTGCCCTGATCTGCATAGAGAAGGCTAAGAACATAGCACATTTCAAAAAGGAAGCCCCCTTGTTCCACACACCCTTTTCTAACCTTCCCTACAATGAGAAGGTTTGCGTAGGAAGCTGCCTTTGTGCCATTGGCCGTCACTGGCTCTGCAGGACTTCGGGTGGAAGTCGTTCCCAGTCCTTTCTGGAGATGCTGCAGATGGAACCACATGCAATTTATTATGATTATCATTATTAATAGTATTATTGTTATTGTATTTATGAATGGCTTCCTATGAAAGTCTGTGCTCTGCCACTGAGCTGTAGCAGCTGCATGTGTTAATCTGATAGAAAGCAATGCTTTGTTTTTCTGCTTAGCTGTCATGAAGCCAAATGGAAATGTATTAAACCCAGGGAGGTGGAACCTCAGGCTTGGGGACTATCCCCAAGCCATCCTTTCCTCTCTCCCCACCTTTAACTCTTCCTGGCCTTGTTCTGCACCCACCTTCTGTGATCCTTCCTAGCTGCAGTGTCTTCTTGAGTAATACCTGCTGCTTGCCTGGGTGAGGGATGAAGCATGTCGTGTGTGTGGATATCTCTTGACTTCAGCCTACTGTACTAGGGAGAGAGTTGTATATGTTGCTTCACCCACGTTTTCCTCAGTCCACACCTACCGCTGTCATCCAGCCCCTGGAAAGTTGCCCAATTGGGAATGAGGCCCTTGGGCTGAAAGAAACTCCATTAAACTCCATTAAAACAAAGCTAAATCTTCCAGGTGGTGTTGATGCGGCTGTCTTTGCCTCGCACAGGTGATTTAACGCTTCATATAAATGATTTCTCCCCCCTCTCTCTCTTGAACCAGAGCGACATGATGCACTTTATGTGGTAGGTGCACTAGATGAAGCCATGGAACTGCGAGGAATGAGGTATCACCCCATAGATATCGAGACGTCTGTAATTAGAGCACACAAGAGCATTACAGAATGGTAAGTACGTTGTTGTTTTGTCCAATGGTAGGGCCAGACTTGGCAAGTTCGGTAGCAGGAAGAAGAGGGAAATCCCTGATCTGCGTGTTTTGGACTTATGAGAAGAATCTTGATATAGTTTGGGGGCTGTGCTTTGTAAGTAAGAGGAAAAGCTTAAAATATGTATACAGTGGCTCTTAAGATCGGGAACCAAATGGCAAACATAATACATTCTGGCTTTGCTATTGCAAAAAAAAGCACAAAGAGGGTTTTGGGCAATTAATCAGGTTTATTATGGCCTCAGCTTTTGTGGGCTGGAGTCCACTTCATCACATACATGAAGTGTTTTCCTCAGATGTCAAGTATATATACACACATAGTTGTAGAGAAACAAACGTAAGCAGTGGGGTCAGAGGTAAATGAAATGCCAGAAATTCTGACTGTGAGAATAATTGCATCAAATGTACATAAAATAAACACAAAATGACTGTTTCAAAGCAGTGTTGGTGGTAGTACGTCCTTGTTGCCGGGTGTTGCCTGTTTTATCA